TTGAGTAAAGTGGCAAAGCTAGAATTAAAATTCAGCACTTAAGACTCCAGATCCAGGTTTAGTTTTGTTTTTACTTTAGTAGGCCTGCCCTGTATTTGTGGTATAATTCAAGTTGAATTTAAAAGAAGAAATGTTCTTAAAGCAGTCCCTTTAGAAATAGGAACCTGGCAGAATTGCAGATTGGTAATTGTTTGGAAATACCTTTGGGAATTATCCTTTATTGGGAGCTAGAGAAAGTGTGTGTGAGTGTGTGTGTGTGTGTGAGAGAGAGAGAGAGCACGCGAGCGTGTGTGTGTGTGTGTGTGTGTGTGTGTGTGTGTGTATTTGAAAGATTCCTACCACAACCATTTGGCATTAGTTAACATAGAGGGGACTTGAGGTCTCTGAATATTTAAAAGTTCTGCATGTGGTTCTTAATTCTGCCCCTTTGCAACCACTGTCAGTTTTTCTTAGAAAATCTCTAGATTCTCCTTCTACAAATAGATTCACTCCATATGCATCTTGCTTAGTGCGACTAAGTTCCTCATCTTTTTGTTCATTTTAATTCAACAAGAATCCAGTAACCTCATTTTAGGTATAAGGCACTGTGGTAGGTGCCAAGGTGAAGATTGACACAATGCTAAATTAGGCCAGGTCTCTGTCTCCAATGAGTTTATAGTTTATATCACAGTCAACTATCAGAAGGCAGAGACGTAGGTGGAAGCCATTCCAGGAATAAGGAAAATCATAAGTGCAAAGGATTTTCAGCAAAGATGGTAAAATCAAAGATCACAGCTGAGCCCAGCTCCATTAAGAACAATCCACAGTAAAGATGAAAAAGGGTGGCGGATGTAGCAGTGATCAATAAAATCAAAGGAAAATCCCAAGTAAGTTCTTCTATCTAGTCAAGAACTGTATAAGACAATGGCTAGAAAACCATAGAGTTTCTGGTCTGGGGCTCATGGGTCCTGAAACTAATGTGACCTCTGATATTTGTTTGCACTAGGGAATCCATCAAAGGGAGATGGGACACAGGTACCCAGGCATACAGTGCCCCAAGAACCTCGAGGTGGCCTGAAGCCATTTTGATTTACAATATCTGTTTGAGACCTCAGCATGAGAATGAAAAAAATAGGACCTAGCAGGACCAGATCTTAAATTATCCTACAAAGCAATAGTCTGCTGTTTAAAAAACATAGATAAGTTGTATGAGTAGAGTAGATTAGGCAAAGAGGACTGGTAAGCACATAGTAAGGTAATCTTTGATAAAACCCAAGAATGCCAATAAGGGTAAGGGTTACTTATTTATTTGACAAACACTGTTGGGAAAAATTGGACAACATTTTCTCTGAAATTAGGGTTAGACTGACATCTTTACTATATACCATGAATGTTCCAAATTGATGCATGGCCAAAATAGGTAAGGAGATACTTTTTCCCAATCATGAATATGAGGAGAGCTCTTGACCCCCAAACAAAGGTTAGAAAGGATCATAAAAAACAAAATAACTTTTATTACATAAATTGAAAAGTTTTTGACAAGCAGAATCAATGAAGTCAAAATTAAAAGGGAAACAGTTACCTGGAGGAAAAATCTTTGCAACAAATTTCTCTGCTAAAAGGTCTGATATCCAAGAGATGTGAAACAAATGTAAAATACAAGAGTCATTTCTTAGTAAGTAAATGGTCAAAGAAGTAGGAAATCTTTAAAAGAGGATATGTAGGACTTCACTAACCATACAAAAAATATTTCAAATCAGTAAGAAAAAAAATGAAAATGAAAACTAGTCTGAGATTTCACTTTACATGCCTCTGATTAGGAGCAATGATGAAAAAGGAAAATGGATATTGTTGGAGAGGCTTTGGGAGGACAGGTACCTTGTTACACTATTGATGGAGCTGTGAATTTGTCATACCATTTTCTTTCTTTTCTTTTGGCTATGCGATGGGGTTAAGTGACTTGCCCAGGGTCACGTAGCTAGTAAGTGTTATGTGTCTGAGGCCAGATTTGAACTCAGGTCCTCCTGAATCCAGGGCTGGTGCTCTATCTGCTGTGCCACCTAGCTGCCCCTGTCGTAGCATTTTCAAAAGCACTTTAGGATTATATCTCCAAAGTCATAGAACTGAAGAGTTACTACTAGTAGTCACATACCCCAAAAGGGTCCAAGATAGAGGGGAAATATTGATAGCAACATTTTTGTTGTACTAAAGAACTATAAACAAAAAGGGTATGAATTGGGGAATGGTTGAAAAAAACGTGGTTTTCAAATGTACTGGAATATTTAACCATAAGAAATGAAAAATAATCTAAATTCAGAGAAAACTGGGAAGACTTTTATGAAATGATGAAAAGTCAAGCAAGCAGGACCAGAAGAATAATCCATACAGTGACTACAACAATGTAAATGAACACAACTTTTGAAAGACTCAAGGATTTTGATCAATTCCTTCAGAAGTCTGAACAAGTGTCCTACTTCATGGAAGATGTGCTGGGCTAGAGGCACACAATGACACATTTTCAGATGTTGCAAATATGTTGAAAAATTTTGCTTGAATTTATTTGTTACAAGGGTGGGATCTCATGGGGGTGGGTAAAATGGATATGTGTGTGGTTTAATAGGTAGCAATAGTGATGCAAAGAAAAAAAGGAAAGAGTAAATTTTAAAAATTCAAAGAATGTAGAGAACAGAAAGATGTTAAGAAGAGAACATAGGCAAGCAGGCCAGTTTTGTTAATTTTATGTTAAATTTTATATTCTCTTAAAAACAAATATAATAATAATTCAATCTCAAATATGGTTCTCTCTCTCTCACTCCATCTCTCTCTCTCTCCATCTCTCTGTCTCTCTCCTCCCTCTTTCTTCTCCCCTGTTTTGTACATTTGAATGTTCATGTTTGTTAATGTTGAAGTCCATTGACAGGTCAAGTTAGGGACTGAACCTCCTGTACCACTGCAGGTCAGCTAAATTCATAATAAAAAAGCAAATTTAAAAGAAAGAGGAAAAGTCATAAAGATAGGTAAGTGGGGGGTGTGTTGGTTCATTTTGTGACAGACTGTAATTGTTATGTGGAAAATAATGAATGAATTAGACCTGGATAGACAGGCTGGAACCAGATTGTGGAGTGCCCTTGACAGGTGGCTGTGGAGTTTGAATTTGTTACATGCAGTAGGCAACAAGGAGCTATGAGAGTTTTTGAGTAGTAAAAAAACTCTTACATTCAATAATCAAATCTGCACATCAGGAAGATTTGTTTGTTAGTTGTCTAAAGGGATGGTTTGGGGAGGAACATGGAGAGGCTAGATCAGTGATTCAGAGCCTGGGTCCATGAAATTCTTAAAAATTGAATGTAATTGATTTCCTTTGTAAGCCTCTATTTTTTTTTGTTATACATATAGCAACATTATTCTGAGAAGGGGTCCATACACTTCACCAGACTATCCAAAGGGGTCCATGACACAGAAAAGATTAAGATCCCTTGCACTAAAAGCAGAGAACTCTCTTGAGGGCTCTTGTATTATTAGTCCAGGCAAAGTTAAAGTGGATATAGATGAAGATGGTGGCAGTAAGGAATGGAAAATCAAAGAAGAAACAATTGATAATATGGTAACTTATACTCCCTGAAAAAAGTCTACCTCCCCCCTCCATGAGTGGGCACTTACAGCCCTTTAGAAATCTGTGGCCTGAATGAACTTAGCCTTCCTCACAAGCCTTTGAACCAGAACTCAGATCCAATTTAGATGTGTTTCTTAGTTTGGGGGGTGTGTGTGTGTGTGTGTGTGTGTGTGTGTGTATGTGTGTGTGTGTGTGTGTGTCTGTGTGTGTGTGTTGGGGTTTTTGGGTTATCAGTCTGTTAAATTTAAAAAGCAGAAGAGAAAACAGGTGAATACACAAGTATACTGGCTGAGCCACTGTTTGGTGAGAGAAATGATGTCATCCACTTGTTTCTAAACTGGGTTGTTGTTTTTTTTTTAAGGTGGGGGAAGCATGTAGACTGGCTCCTTTTGAAGTAAGGCATGTACATACATACTGCAACATAGATTAGTGGATACTGGAAGCATCTTTCTGGAAGTATATCGTTTACGGCAATTTTAACCAGAAGAACATATTTCACATATGGTATTGTGATGCTTTTGCCCTGGGGTGTGTGTGTGTGTGTGTGTGTGTGTGTGTGTGTGTGTGTGTGTGTGTGTGTGTGTGTGTTGTAGATTCTTTCCTGTTGCTGTCCTGAAAGACTCAAGATAATCAAAAGCAATACTGTTTATTTTCCTACTGCACCATTTGGAAAGTATTGGAACTTTTGCCTCTGAGCAGTCCAAGGTACAAAAATGCTAATTTATTGCCAGACTGCAGCATTGTGATTTGCATTCTAAATCAGACTGCAGAATTCCCAGAACAAGTGGCTGTCCCTCCTATGCCTTAGCCAGAATTTCTCCAGCTTCTTGCCTTTTCCCCACCACCTTAACAACAAAAATCATTCCCAGAGACTCCTTTTTTGAAATAAGTAATTCCAGTGACCTAGTCTGAAATCCAAAAGACATCAACAGATTTGTTTTCAGTGTTTCCCTATCCCCTTACATTGAGGAATCCCGTGCCACTGCGGTGAAATAATTGTTTTAAACGCTGTCCCTTTGAGGCTTAAAGATATATGTTCATCTCCTTCAAACATCTTACCCCTGCCTATTTTTAAATCTGCAAAGGTGTGAGCTTACAAATACCCTTTCAATAACAGCCTTTTAAGATCAGACCTCAGATAAGTGTAACTGCATCCTTTCCAAGAGCTTTTAAATCAAATTAAGTAGATACTTAGAGAAGAGGAAAATGAAAAAGCATTTCTGTAACGTATCTGAGTGAGAACCAGCTACTGCAGCATAAAAAACCCACAGGCATCTGGGCTTTCCCATTTTGGTAGCAAATAGGGGGAATTGTGGGTTGGTGGTCTTCTTCACGTTAGGACACCCCTCCATCTGTTCTCCGTGCAGCCTGGCTCCAATTTAAAGCCCAGATTTCAATACAAACCTCGATTTCTTTTCCCCATTTTATATGCAAAGCGAGGCTTATGAATCCCAGAGCCTCCAGCTACTAAGACTGACACCAAATTCCCTCCCCCCCCCACAACACACCCCCAAATTCCTCGGCTATTTGTTTGAATACCTGCTTACAGTGCTGCACAATGGGGCAGCTTTGAGAGAAAAATTGATAATCTTCACGGAAGAGTAATTTGAATGAAATTACACTTGACAGCCTGTCTCCCAGCAAACAAGGGGAGTGAGGGAGCTTCAACTAAGCTCTGAGGACTTGCCTTGCCCACTGCTTTTTGGAGCTTCCCAGGAAAAGAGGAGGAACGAACGGCGCACAGCCACAGTTTCTCCCAACATCTAATTGAAGCTTCTGATTAAATTCTCTGCACCACCGTATAGTGAAGAAAGGCAATCATGGAAGAGAATATGGAAGAAGGACAGACACAGAAAGGTAGCAGTTTATTTGCAAATACGCGGTTATTTTGCAGTTTCCTTGCTTGCTTTTAGGGAATGCCAGTAGCACTAACGATTATCTCTCTGAAGGCAAATTTTCTTTCTGGATTTTGGTCTCTGGCCACTTCTATTAATGCCTGGCACAAATGTCATGGTTATTTGTGAATATTGAGGATAAGAGGCATGCAAAGGCACAGAATCCTTGCTTAGGGAGAATTCTGATCAGCATTTAACGAGCACTAGCTGCTCTTTTGGAAGTCTTTGTTAACCTTCATTTATTTCATGTTTTCACGCTTGTCGAGCTGGGTCAAGGGAGCCTGGTGTGACCTAGGATAGAGCCCCTCTCTCAATATTTGTTGCTAGTTCCAGCTAGAACTTTGACAACGTAACCATTATTTTCACCTTTGAAAAGGGTGTCCTATGGAACAAAGACTTATAGTGTATTTTGGGTATTGTTATTGATGTTGGGTGTGTGTATGTGTGTGTGTGTTGTCTTTTCTCTCTCTCTCTCTCTCTCTCTCTCTCTCTCTCTCTCTCTCTCTCTCTCTCTCTCTCTCTCTCTCTCTGTCTGTCTTCTTTTTTCTTTTCTTTTCCCCCTTCTCTGTCTGTGGAAGCTGGCTGGCTTTGGCATCCATTGAAGGAAGGGTTGTAAATTTCCCCAGTGATATCTGTGCTTTTCTCTGCAAAGCCCAACAAATTGAACTTTTATAAAAGGGAGACCCAACTATTGACATGCTTCTTTCTCTTCTTTTCTTAAGTCATGTTTACTAAGTCATATTTATGTTGACATAATACCCAGGTTTCATTTTAAATAACCCACTATAAGATCTTTTTATGTGTCAAGTGGTTTGACTGGAAGGAACGCTAGCTTTCACCTACGCTGCTGCCTTTCCTTCCTGCCAGGATTCAGTCTTATGTAATGATTTAGAAAATGCCTTGAACTAAATAACCCAGGTGACACTTTGAAGAATCAGGGTTGAAAGGCAGCAGTGAAAAAGGAATTAAGGATTAGTAATTAAAATGGATTTAAATTGCATGTAAATCCTTCTCTCCCCCTCCCCCATTCTAGGTTGTTATCAGATTGGAGGTGGTGCAGCAGGTAACTTAGCATCAATCTCTTTGCTTGCTGCAAGTCCGTGGCATGCATGCCCTCTCATTATTACCTACACATTTCATTTTTCTGGGCTTTCTTCTCTTGAATTGATTTTAGCTGTACCAAATAGACAGGTCAGTCAGAAAACACTGGTATCAAGCCTATCTCAGATTTGTATATACATTATAATGATGGATGCACTCTACTCCACGTTTTAGTCATGGACAGCTTCATTGGCACTTCCCTCCCCTAACAGCAGCACGGTAAAGAACATTATATGACATGATATGGCCCCATTACATTTTTCACTAAAAGATTCCGATACCTTTACCACATAACCTACATTAATGGGCTTTAAATGTACAAATCAGAGCAGATAGTTTAAAAAAGCCCCAACTGGAAACACCTGTGGGGTTCTAGTCTTTTAAACATGAATCAGAAATTTTGATTTTATGTTAGTAGTGGTATATGCATTTTTCAAAATGAGGTGTCTGCCTTAGAGATTGGGAATGTGATAGCTGAGCTAAAGAGATTAATCTTATTGCTGGTGGTGTTTGGACAGTCAGTTTGCTCTAAGAATATTAGTTTTCTTATTTTAAAATTATGAAAATGTTACCAACAAGTACCAAGTAAAAAGAAGGAACAGGTTGGTAATACAGTGTATGCTATGCAAAACTGAGTAAGTATTTGGAAGGACCAATAAACAAGACAGATGATGTAATTAATCATTGTCATTGTCCAGGGTATGCGGAAAACGTGTGTGATTTTTTCAGTTGGAGATGTGTTAGGATCTTCTTTTTTTCCCCTTTTAAAGCACAGTTGCCATTACAAACAAGTGGCAAAACACATGCTAACCCTGAAAAAAAAAAGATGTTTGCTTTGATTGAAAAGTATGTTCAATTACAATGGCAAGATTTATGGATTTTTTTTAAAAGAAAAATGATTTGTTCTCAGCTTTCTTCTCCTGTGTGTTTCTTCTCACCTACCTATGTCTAAGTCTCTGTATGAGCTGATTGTTAAAGAGGGCTACTGGAATTTAGATATCAGATATACATATGAGGGAGCTGTGGGTGACAGTAAGAAACCTGATGATTTTTTCAGCTTAGAAGGGACTTCTGAAAAACTGGTAAAATCTTTATAGATTTCTAAGGAGCTTAAGTAAAAAGACATAGAAGAAGGTTTCTTAACCTAGGGTCTTTGACCTTTTTGGGGGTCATAATTTGATAACTATATTTCCAAATAAGTGGTTTTCTTGCAATCCTATGTAGTATGTTATATACATTTAAAAATATTATTCTGAGAAGGAATCTATAGGTTTCACCAGACTGTCAAAGGGGTCCAGGACACCAGAAAGATAACGAGAGCACCTTACTTTTAGATAGGTGTGCTGCTTTAAAGTGAGAAATTCAAAAGAGGTAATTAAAAAGTGTTTTGTAAACCTCAAATTGTATAAATGATATGTTGATGATAATGATGATGATGATGATGATGATGGAAGCAGTGGCTACAGTGATGAGATCTCTACACAGGTGCAGATTTTTGCCCCCTTAGCTTGTCATTCTGTCACATTCTTTGGATTTGGTTGTGAGAATCTCTACAATTCTCTTTCCTTTGGACCTCTTTTCATGCATCCTAATTTATGCTGCTTTTCCCCTCTTTTTAAATTCCTAAAAATCTCAAGGAGCATTAAAAAAGGTATTTCTTCTGCTCATCTCACCATGTATTTGCAGCTGTAGAATGTGATAGCAGCCATGATAGAAGCCAGTAGTTCCAGCCCTCATCCTTAAAACAAGTAATTTCAAACGTGTTTGTTATTTCAGGTTTTTCTCTAGAATCCCGAGAAGCTTTTTTTATTGCATTTTTTCAATATATGAAGTTGATAATTAATAAAGAAGGAAGGTTATTTTCACCTAGGGATGACACATGATAGTGATCACCTTAGGATCACTGCTGCAGGTTTCATGGCTGTTCACTTCAAGTCGACAAACATTTACTAAATGCCTTTTGTGTATGAAGCACTGGGGTGCTAGACGCTGGGGGGAGAAATTAAATTTAGCTAATTCCACAAACATTTATTTAAGTGACTACTATGTGCTAGGCTCTGTCTCAGCCCTGGAGTTTATGAAATTCCCTGTTCTCAGGGAGCTTACATTCTTGAAGACAAGATATGGGTTCTACTCTTGTGTAGTTTAGAATCAATTAGGATGGGATATAAACAGAAGTCAGTATGGTATATAACATAAGCTAAATTTGTTAAAAATATATCAAAGTTTTACTGAGATACAAAAGACAAAGTAAATACTGATGGAGGAATTCAATAAGATTTCATGGATGAGAGTGTATCATAAGTAGCTAACGATGTATTTCTTGTGTCTCTGCGCCCCCGCCACTGCCCACCCCCAAAGCTAGTTAGATCTTTTAAAAGCATTTTATTGTCTCATTCTAATTACATCATTTAGATTCCCTAAGAACTTGAATTTAGGTTCCTTCATTTTCAGGCTTAAGTGAAACTTCCATATACTTTATCGGTCCAGAGCTCATTATTATGCAGCTTATCTTCTTTCTGTTTATTTCTGAAATGCCTCTAAGCAATAACTAGGTGCTTTTACAATTGTTGTCTGAAAAATTTTACCATCTAGGACAGGAAACTGCAGAGGTTTAGTTTAATCTGTGGAATGCCAAGTTATCTGATTAGATGACCAGTCATTGCCCATAAAGAATTGTTCATGTATTGCTTATCAACACCAAATTATTCAATATGTACATTTACAATATTTCAAAATATTTACCAATTACTACAATCTAAGATGCTTGCTGCCACCCCCAACCTCCCCCACCCCCAACCTTTACTGGAGCCATATTAAGGTAGCCTATCTTCTTGAGGAATTGGAGTAATAGAAAGACCCAGAAGGAGTCGATGAATGTGGTTTCACTATATAGGCAAATCTAGCCATCATCTACCTAGTGTAGCTTCTGTGGGAAGGGAGAGCTGGAGTGAGTGGCCTAGAGGAGGAATGGGGAATTCCCCCAACTATAACTAAAGGTGAAGTGTTAATGAGATTAGGAACCTTTCACTTCTTGGCTAATATCTTAGTGCAAATATGGCCTCTGGTAATTATTCTGCATTTCCAGCTTGGTAACTTATGTAGAGGGAGCTGAGAATGTAAGTCTAGTTCCAAGTGGACAAATTTCACCTGAATAAATGCTGTCACAGTTGATCTCTTCATTGGGATCTCAGCAGTAAGGAGTTAGGTCTAACATAGATAAAAGTCTGGGAATCTGTTAGACTCACAGAAACCTGTGCTGAACTTTGACTGCTATGCTTTTTTTTTTTTGACCAGCATTTAAACTTACTTAATGTGGAATGTTCTCTATGAGTTTAATAAATTAATTTGGTTTCCTATTTTGATCCCGTGTAGTTGTGAGACACCTGTCAGTGGGGAAAGATGAGGTAAATTTTCTAAAAAAAAATTGAGCAAGCTGTAACTCAGAACTTTCTATATTCTAGTTGCTATAGTTTCTGAGCTTGAAAAAGGACTTTTTATGGGCTTGTCATTTGGTATTTTCATAGCACCTGTTTTTAAGCTTTTTTAAAAATCTGGAATCCTATTCATCTCAGAATTCCAAAATACTCAACAAAATGCAATTATCTTTATAAAATTGTAGAATAGCAGAATTGAGAGGGACTTCAGAGGTCACCAATCCAACCTATACCTGAACAAACATTCCTTCTGCAGAATCTCTGACAAGTGGGCATCCACTTGTGAATCTCTAGCTTCTACTCGCTAGCAGCCAAGGTAGACCATTTTTCTTTTGGACAGATTGATTATTTTCTAAGGTTATACTTCAATTGATTGAACTAAACTCTGCCTTTTTGCAGTCATAGATATTTGTTTTGCCCTCTG